TTTCTTGCTCCTTGACCCTACTGCAGTCCCAAACAGAATCACTTGAATGTTTGAGATGCTTTGGGAAACTTTTATTTGAGATATTTGGCACAGCTAAGTGTTTTCCAACCTCTCTTCCATAATACCAGGTTATGTAGCCTTATCTTTGGCCATAGAAACTCGGTACAAAACACTCATCAGCCCCTTGAAAACAAGTGACAGGTTTAAGTACCCTCCGTCCTACTAGGCAAGGAGTGTTGATCCAAGGACTACTTTGCCTGATCTTTTATTTCTTCTGGAAATGCAAGCCCTACTTGGGTATGACCCTTTGCTTTTCCTTTTCCTTTTATTTTTATCCTCAATGTGTCTTCCTTAATTATTGTAGTGTAGTACTTAGAATCTAAATTGGTGAGGAAAAGGTATTTAGAAGTACAGTAGGACACTTGTATTTTGAGTAAAAGAACTTGAGGTTGGCGAGGGATCACTGAGCTCCTCTGGGTTTACAACAGCCTGCTTTCTCTTCCATGGAAGGGAAGGAGATTAAGGTACAGCTCTTCCAGGTTTTTTGGTAAATCACATTTTTATTCCCTGGGATCTTATTTATAGAGCACTTTGCAATGGGCTTCTTTTTCTTCCTTTTCAATACTAAAAAGTTCTGCTTTATCCTCTATTATTCTTATTTTTCTGTATTCAAATTCCTTTTTTTCCCCATCCCATCTCCTCTTTCCTTCTTAATTTCAGAACAATGTATTTTCCAAGTCTCCAAACTGGCTTAACTATTTTAGCAATTGAAAATATTAAATATCTTTTTTTCTTTGGGTCATTTAGAGACACACTGTGAAGGACATCCCTGTGTTCGATGATGCAGCTGACAGAGCAGAGCTGTTGCGGTGGAAGGTTCTCAGTGTTATTTTTCTTACTTATTTTTGGTTGTTGAATGTAGTTAAAGTACTTTATAGGTTAGCAAATCCAGATTAAATTTAAATGTCAACTTCAGAGGTAAGAGAAAGAAACAAATAAAAATCTGGGAATTCACTCTTAAATGGAGCACCCTTGGGAGGCAGTCTGCGTATCAGCTAAGAAAACTAACACTAGAGCCAGACTGCCTGGGTTTGAATGCAGTGTCATCTCTTATTGACTGTGTTACTTTGAGCACCTTTTTAATCTTCTCTTTCCTCAGCCTCCTCACCTATAAAGTGGAGGTTGTTTTGCCACATGGGGTTGTTACAAGGATTAAATTAGTTTCTAAAATTACTTAGAACAGTGCCTGGCAATAGTAAGCACTACAGAAATGTCATTTACTCTTACTTAAAATTATAGTAATATATAAATCGAGGCCCCAGAAACATTTTTAGTTTTTAGAAGTATGAGGGGTTTTTTTAATGTTTCTGATTTTTCAATGATCACAAATATGGTTTGTATTACCATAAGAAAAATTTTTGGCTTAATAATTGATTAATGAGTTTTTAAGAAAGAAACCATTTGTATGACCCAGTAAGTACAGTGTAAAGTTCACTAACAGGAGATGTCTGGCTAACATTAAAACCATTAAAGAAAATCCTGAGCATGACGTTACACTCAACTCGGAAACACATGCTTTACATTATTGTCCTATCAGTTTTCGAGTTCCTGGCGTATGTCACTGAAGCAGACAGAGCTTTTTTTTTTTTTTTGGTAAAGTAGTCATTCTCTGTTATTGCTTTTGACTTAGATAAACGACCTTCTAACTAACTATTGGGAAACTTTGTGGGCTTTATTTGTGACTGTTATTTAAAGTGATAGCTGTGAAAGACTGTCAAAATATCTTTAGTACTGTGCTTTTCAAAAAGAAAGGATAATTCCTTTGAAAATAATAATGAAAGGATAATAGAATCCCAGATATAAGAAGGAATAAGGTCTGCCAGCTTATGGATGGCATTCATCTGCCAAGATAGGGAAGTCCATTTCAGGAGCTAACCGGTTTTGCTGGCTTCATACTGCTGAGTATACTTGAGTTGCTACAATGGGGGCAAAGTGCACTGGGGAATGCTCCAGCAGATGATTTTTCTAGCCAAGAAAGTCTATGGCAATTCTGCCTCTACAGTAATGGCCAATTCACAGCCATCTAACGGTCTGGCTTTTCATTGAAGATATGACTAACTTAAATGACTTGAATGTTTGTTATCCCTTTAACACATGTACTACTTTAAATCATATTTCTGAACAAATATTTTACCTTATAACAACTAATTTTATTTTATTGTCTATACATGAGTTATGGCAGCTTGTAGCCAATATGGAGGTTAATGAACTATACAAAAATAAAGTGCAAATCTGCATTTTGAACCGAGAGCACCTTTAAGAGGATTATGGCATTAATTACAAGAGTTAGATCTTCCGGGGGCTGGCCGAGTGGCGCGTTGGTTAAGAGCTGGCTTGGGACACCAGAGGGCCCTGGTTCGGATCCCACATATGAGGGCCAGTAACCCTGCCCTCTACAGCTAAGATGCTGAACAACAGCTCAACCTGGAGCTGGGCTGCAGTGAGTCGCCGGCGACGGTGTAGGCTGCAGCCCCTGCTGCAGTGGGTTGCCATGGGCTACCTTGTGTAGCCAGCAGCCAGCGTGAGCAGCCAGCAGCCGCCATGAGCGGCCATCCAGAAGCTGGCGACTGATTTGCCTCACCCGGGAAGAGCGCAATGATGGTGCCAACTTGGGCCAGTGAAGCGACGTCCTCCACGAGACTGAAGAACAAAAGGACAGCAACTTGTCTGTTCCCCTCCCCCAATTTCCCAAAGCTGTTCCCCTCCCCAAATTCCCCAATAAAATCTTTAAAAAAAATAAAAAGAGTTAGATCTTCCAAATTTGAGAGGCAGCATGATCTGGTGGAGCAAACACAAGTTTAGGAGTCATACTGATAGCCTTTGAATACTACCTTGTTTATTTCCTAGTCATCTGAGGCTACACACATTATTTAATCCCTCTAAACCTAATTCTTCATCTATAATATGGGAATATCTACCCTGAAACCTTTCAAGAATCGAATTAGATACACATGTGAAAGAGTGCCTACCTCACAGACAGGCAGAAAAATTTTCTCTCCAGGGCCAGCCGAGTGGTGCGTTGGTTAAGAGCTGGCTTGGGACGCCAGAGGGCTCTAGTTTGGATCCCACATATGAGGGCCAGTGACACTGCCCTCTACAGCTAAGATGCTGAACAACAGCTCAACCTGGAGCTGGGCTGCCGTGAGTCACCGG